CCGAGCTAAGCTATAGCCATAAGAAACATTGAAAATTTACCTTAGGCTATTGACAAACTCAATAAATAATAGAATCCATGGAAAACTCCTTAATAACATCGAAGTGAATTCAAGGGATCAAAATGTGGAACACATCAAAGCGAGGACAAGGATAGAGTGGGAAGATATCCCTGGGAAAGGTGAGTTAACCTGTAGCGATAAATTTTAAGTCATAAAGACAAAGTGAAGAACCTACCCTAAGTTTAGGAAAAGACCCTCATTTCTGAGGAAGGAGAGAGAGGTCACGTCCACCATGTCTCTGGAGTCTCTAGAAGAATAGAAGGGACCAACATATATTTAAGGTTCTAGATGTTGTTACTAAACTCAACATTAATATTCCTTATGCTAAAGTTGTATAATGAATGTTCAGTTACGTGGGGTTCATGAAGGATGTCTTGGACAAGAAAAATAATCTAAGAGAGGGTGAAATGGTTGCCTTGACTTGAGAGTGTAGTGCTATCCCATTTAAAAGTTGCCCAAAAAATTGAGAGAACTAAGTAGCTTTATCATTCTTTGAGCCATAAAAAAAAGACGAGGAGTTAACATTAACTTTATACATGTGATCATTTTTCAAAAGACTAGGATTAAAAAATGCCAATCCACCATTGTGACCTTGCAGTTAGCTGACCACTTTGCAACCCATCCAAAGAGATTAATCAAGGTCATTTGGTCAAAGTTGATAAGTTAACCTTCCAAGCTAATTTTATTGTCATGAACATGGAGGAAGATAAGAATGTCCCATTATACTTGGTAGACCCTTTTTAGCCACTAAATAAGTGATGATTGATGTACAGAAGGAAAATTTTGTCATAAGAGTGAATGATATGGAATTGACTTCTGATGTTCTAAATCTATAAAGTTTTCCAAAAACTCTAACAACGAACAAGGCTATAGTGTATATGTGATGGTAGCGGTAGTTGATAACCAATTTTTTGAAATTGTAAAATTGAACCATGAAGAGCAACCTAATGGTAAATGAATTTTGTGGTGAAATTATTAAGAAATAATATATTATTCTTTTTTAGGCAAACTTTATAGTTGTGAGGAAGATAGTTGAGCTTGTGGACACCACTACCCATGTCAAGTCTGTAGGATAACCCATAGAAGGAGCACCAATAGTAGCATTAGAAAATTGTTCTGAGTAGAGGGAGTGTAACTTCTTAGGAAAATTATCTATCTATTGAGTTGAGTAAAAGAAAGGATATTGCTATGAGCTTTGGATCAATAAATCTTTTTTAAGATTTATCATCCAATTCAAGCCTTGACATACTCTTCTAAATATTACCACAGAAGTGAGATTGAGCGACTACAGGAAGTCTGAACATGGGTGTGAAAAGAACACATATTTTTAGGAGGATCCTAAATTAAGAATGGCATTTGATGTCTTAGGAAATCATACATGATGGTTAAAATATAGGAATACTGATCAAAGATTACTAAGAAGGCAATTTGATAATAGAAAACCCTTTTAGGCTTGATTTAGTCATGCATGGATTGACTGAGGATGTTAAACCAAGCGTTATCTTGGGAGAAAACCTAAGAATTATCATTGATTTAAGTGTGTTTTTGTGTTTTTTTGCTTCAAATTTGCTTATTTTTTGTGTACTTTTGATTTGAAGATTGTTATGTTAGTGTTTGTTTATAGACCTTACCAGAATTGGTTTCATTGTACTCTATCGATCTTTCTATGACTTTATTTTGTTGTGATGCTTCTCTTATGTTGACTTGATGTTTCCTCACATCACATATGTTGACATGGATGTTTACCTCTTTATTAATGATTTCATGTTATTACATGTTATACTCTTTTCCTTTCTTGCATTCTTTCACGTGCTATGCTTAGGATAAAATATACGTTTAGGGGAAGGAGTGATACATGTGTAATTGCCTGAAAGTAAATGACATACCTGAGGTGTGAACTATAATTTAGAGTGGCAACTCATGGCAGGAATCATGGTGATTTGACTAATTTATGTAATGACATAATTAGAAATATAAAAATTCATTAAATGGGGGTTAAAATTAATTTCTTAGTAATTTAATCCTTCACTTCAATAACTTCTATCTGAATCTTAAGATGTCTTAGAACAATTTAAAAAAGTGTAATTTAAATAGAGGTAATTAACCAGGGAAAGTTAAGTCTATAAATTTTTAGCTCAAACAAGCTAATTGATCTTAACTTCTGAATGAATATTAATCTTTTGGAATTCATATTAAGGCATCTTTGAGGATTAGCAATTGGGAGAGACTAGGCAATCAAAGTCCTTAAAAGAAATGTGCTCGACCAGGTATCACAATTCTCAGTGAAATTTAAAACAATTTTGGGCCTTAATATAAGAAGATAAAAAGATAAAGTGTGCAAGAGAATATTTTAGGAAGAAATGCCTAGTAATTTTTGAAGAACAAACTTAAGGTTGAACATAAAAAATTGAAAATTTTGTCTCTAAACCCTTTCCTAATTAATAAAACTTAAAGCCTTTTGATGGAATTCTTAATGTTATATTCATGAAAAGTTAAAAGAATTTAGAGATGTTTGATTGATAATTAATTGACTTAATAATATCATTGAAAATTAGAAATATTTCAATCACACAAGAATCAGAGTTTTGAGATCTTCTTAGGCTCAAAAAGAAGGGAGTTAAAGAAAGGGCAAGTTTGTTAGAGATTAATGATAATCCAGCCTTAAAATGATACTTCCACATTTTTTATTATACATATAAAATTGTTAAAGAATCATGAAGTTTCACATAAGAGTTATGAATATCACCAAGTCATAGTATAGATATGAGATTAATTGAGGGTATGTAATAGATAAGTTTAGGAGAATTAATGTGATTCAAATTTATGTTATTTTTCTCATAAAACTATGTTGCTTTTTTATTTATCATGATTTTATACTTTTGAAAGGTATTTTTGGCGGTATTTGGCAGGTTATAAAAGTTGAATATGTGTTGCGAAGCCAAAACATGAAGCGGGCAAGGTGCTAAACTGGCGTAATTATGCCACCGTATGATGTAATTATTCTAGTCTTACTATTTTTGGTGATTCTGTAGAGTTGTGTCTGACGTACTACACCATGCCTCGATGTAGCTAAGTTGTCTTGCGATGTAACTACGTTGCGCACTGGCAAAACTATTAGTAACTACGCTAGGTGATTTATATATAAGGATATGCATTAGAACTTCCTAAGGAAGATTAACAATACTTTAGAAGCTTCCTTTAGCAACATTTTGGGTTTTTACTTCAAGCCATATGGACTTCATCCTTCTTTCTTCGGGGACAAAGCTTCTAGCGCTCTTTTTCATTTGGGGTTAGAGAGATTTTTGAGAGAAAGATTAAGTGATGATGTTATGTGAGGGAGATCATGAAGAGCTTTCATTATTAGTGGAGGACTTGGTGTATTGTAAGAAAATATTTGGCTTGGTTGTTAGTTTTTATACTTTTTTTCACTTGTATCTTCAAAGCTATTAATGAAATCTATCATATTTTCTACCTAATGTATCATAGCTAATCTTCTGTCATGCTCTTGCGATGTAAGGATAAATTTTTTTGTCATTGTTTTGCTATGAGTTTTTCCCTGCAAACGTTTTTTATACTTTTGACTTTCATAAGTTGATGTTTTAACCTTTTGATTATCGTTCACTCCTGTTCTGACAAATTAAGGAGTTAAAACCTTCCTTAATTTCGAACTTCTAACCGTTGACTAGAAGAACGAGTAGATTAACACATAATAGTCTAGTGATAAAACTAAATTACCATTACAAAATTACAATCTAGATAGAGAATCAGAGGAATCATGGGAAACATTAGATGGTTAAGTCCCTCTTAATTGTAATATAGTTTCCAACTATTCTTATGACCTATATATAGATTAAGAAAGATTTTTCATTAGTTGTTTACTATCACGTAGAAGAAATCATAAGAAAAACATTAAGATATCACAATGTCGTTTCATAGATGTATGAACCTCGTCATGTCTGAAGAACTCAAAGTTGCTCATTGCCCTTCTTGTTATTGCGATTTTTTTATTGCTTTTTCTGTTTTACTGTTCTTTTTAAGACAACTAGATTTTCATTATTTTCATTTTGTTCACTTCAAATTAGATTAAACGGTTTATTACACTAGAATTTACCCTTTCATCAATATTTTGACAACTTTCTTCGTGAGATCGATATATAGACTCTTTATCCTTGTATTACTTGATTTACACATAAACTTGTGGGATTAACTGATTTCATTGTAGTAATTTCGAGCATCAAAGCCACCTCTTAAATCTATAGGGGCCACTCTCAAATTCTGTCTGCTTGGGGGATATTTTTGAGTTTAGAGGACCGACGAGGATGTCAGTTTTTAAATAGGAGAGATTGTGAAACCCCTTAAGTCGAATGAAGCTGAACTCTTAAGCATCGATAAACATTTTAACGTAACAGTGAAATTTTTATAGATGCTCCAAGTTAAACGTGCTCGTGCTAGAGCACTTCTAAGATGGGTGACCTTCAGGGAGGTTACACCAATGGCTCAAAACTGTGAGTCTATTAGGCCAAAACAGACAATGTCTCGAAGGGTTAGAGGAGCTAGATAAATGGCGAGTATGTGGCTGCAATGAAGAAGGGGTATATTTAGGATGGTTAGAATATAAACATGTTGGTTTAGATGTTTAGCGTTATATTAAAAGATTTGTGTGGTCGATTTGTAGCAATCCTTGAAGTTCTCACATGTCAACCACATAATATACCAATTTTAACATTTTAGTCATCAAAATTTTAAATATAACATTTTAAATACTTTTTTCATTACAATTTTTTTTTTTTAAATTCAGTTATAAAAATTTTGAGTGTTTAAAATATTATATCCAAAATTTGAAGGATTAAAATATTAAATTTAATAATTTGAATAAATTGTCGTAATTTTATAAATACGTAGCTCTATGGTCGGATACAACGCCACTTGCCGGCATCCGCTATTGGGTCTTCAGGGTTTGGCTGGAAATTCGCAGCAATAAATGTGCAAATATAAAATAGAGAAATGTCGCAACCGAGAGGCACTAGGGTTTCCCTTCAGCTCGATTAGTCGTCTCTTCTGTGGTGCCTGCGCGTAAGGGTTCGTTTGAGGTTTCGGATAGGAGACAGCGGTTTCGTGCAAGTTTGTGCGGAATAGAAGCCAGCCGGAGGCCATGTACAGGTCAAGGGGGTAAGATACACCACATAAACCCTAATGTTTTTGTCTTTTCGCCGAAAAATTATTTATTTTTAGCTTCTTGTTAATCTTTTCTCGAGGCATTCTTTGGTTACTATCATTATTCTGGCGTTTTTTTTAAACGTTTTGTTATCGATTTTTTTTGTTTCTCTTTTCTTGTTCCTGGTCGTTTTATTTTGTCGCCGCTAGTTTGGGATTTGGGCATGTGAGTTCTGATAGAGATGGAGAGCTTATTGCTTGTTTTTAATGATGAGTTGCCTATAAGAAATCTGAGAACTTTGACTGAGGCATTTTTTTCCCTATAGATTGAACAAGTAGCTTGTAATAGGTACGATTTTTTCTTTGGTTTTTAGTTGTTTCTGTAAATTTTATTGTGTAGAGATCATTGGTGACACTTATCAAGAGTGCATGCTTCTTCATTGATAAAATCTATATGGCTCTTCTGACTATTCCTTCCTAGCAGGGCCTCTTTTTTCCTGTCAAAAGTATAGTTTTGTTACATGGAAGCTGCTAGGTCAGCAAAACATGTCGTTGGGCATGATGGTAGTTACTGTAAACACCTATTTTAGTGGTTGATTGTGATGCTCTCTATGTAGGGATTGGAGGTGCTCCTTTGGTTTGTAGATAGTCTGATTAGCGAATTTTATTATTAGTTTTGATCCATTTAGCTTGGACTGACATATGCATTCCAGTTACCATTTCACTATAAGGCACAAATGGCGAAGGGAAGTTTGTGGAAAATTTTTAATGATGCTTGAGCATGTACCTTTTTGAAGTACTTCTTTACTTCTGTTACCTGAAGAAACCCCTTTCCCATGGGCCATTATGTTTTGAACTTTGTGTCTAACAGAAGGCCTAGTGAAGCTTCTTTTAGAACGGCTTAAAAAATTTCAAAATTTGATAGTGGTAGGCGTAGGGTTGACCTTGGAGGCTAGTTTTGTCTTAATGTGATATGTGGCTTGTTAATGTGCAGCGCCATAAAGTAATTATTCTGTTAGGAATTTTTATGAATTCTTTTTCTTAGATTTGAGAGCATGAGTTTTTATAACCTAAATATATTTTGTATCACATTCAGGGGTTCCAATCCTTTTTTTCTAATCCATTGCAATGTACTTGGTGTATCATACCCTGTGACCTACCTGTTTAGAATCTACTTCATTTGTTGATATTTATGCTAAAATGTCACTTTTATGGAATCTTGAAAGGAGATGTTGGCTGAAAAAAGCTTTACATAAACGGGCTCATTTGGTATTTTGTTATATCATTTTTTTGACTTGCGGTAAAAGTGTGCAATGTCTTACCTTTATGAAATGATGCCTAAATAAACATTGAAAAGATTGCATGGCGAAGAAAAAAAAGCTTTAAAATCCATGTTTACATGAGGTTAACTTGAAGCTTTATTTTTTTGGTGAAGTTAAATTGTATGCAATTTGATTTTGAAGTGCCTGCATGTACATGAGCAAATAGGAGTTTGAAACGATAAGCTCAGGGAATCATATTATGTAGTGTTTGTTAATTGAAGTCCAATGGAGACCATTGTTAGCATTGATTGTTATCATATTTTTTAATTTTCTTTAAAGATTTGGTTGGTTTTTAATGTAAAATTGCTATATGAAAATATTAGAGGTAATATTTGTTTTGATAATTTAAAATTTTGGTTATATACTGAATACACCAAATAAATAATAGAACATGGTAATTATTTTTTTGCATTGCGATATTTGTAGAAATTAGGTGTTGGTTCTCTGTTATAGTTCCAAAAATGAGGGAAAACACCCCTGAAAATGTTTTCTGCATTCTTGAAACAGAGCTACTTGTGTTTGGAGAAAGGCAACAGATGAGTTCTCCATTTCACTTGGACATGCTACCTAAACTCGATACTTTTTACTTAGAGCTTCTTAGAGCCTAAAATAGAAAATAGAATACAAAAAGGAAGCCTGAAATGACTGGTGTTTGTGTGCCAAACTTGTTTCTCATTGGGCACTACTTTACTTGTTGATTGACATTACAAAAACCTTGCAAGAGAAGTTACTTGAAGATGTAAATTTTGGACTTGATAAGCCAGTTTCTAAGCAAAAGACAATTGTTAGTGAGAGAACATTAAAATGTGCTAATGTTTAGAATGCCTAAATTTTTTGGTATGTATGCTTTTTTTTGTTTTAGAAATAGGATAACAACGGAACAGTTCAAGGCCCACGTAAAATTTTCTCCTGAATTGGTTTCTTGAAGTTTTCAACTCGACCATTATGATGCACTTGTTTAATTTAACAAGGTTAGCATAATTTTATTGTCAGCTAACTTTTTTTGAAGTTGAGTTATGATAAAAATCTGATGTTATGTCTCTTATAGGAACTAAATTAATGGATTATTTGATAAATTATTTTCATTTTAAAAAAAAGAGTACGGTTGTGTTGATATCAAAGATTGCTAGGACTATTTACATTAACAAATTCTTGTTGAGTAGACATGGGACTTATTAACTTTAGCCATATATATTTGCATTAAGAAATACTTTTTAAAAATTTTTTGCCGTCTTATATAGAGGAAATTATATATTTTTTATTTTTTTATGTTCAAATTGTTAATCTTTGAAGAGACGGTGCTGTGAAAGATATATTGAAATTCTTTAGTTAAATTTTATGTAGCATAAGCTGTATTGTTTTATTAGGAAGGTTGTCATAGATGTTTTAAATTCTAAAAATAAATTTTACAAATGAAAGGTAATTTGGTGGAGTAAGAATTTCAAACATTATCATGGAAAGATCATCACTTTTTAGAGTGGCAAAAATTGAATGTTATTGATATTTATAATGATTATAAAAATATTAGAAAACTTTAAAAAAAATTAGCACACACGGTGAGAGTTAAAATTTTTTATGACTTTTATAATAAAAATTGTACTTACGAACCAAAAAAAAAAGGAGATTTACAGAGAACACCCAATACAACAGAAAAAAATCTTGAAAATTTGATCTAGTTAGATGCAATAGAATCAAACGTCATAAGATCTTAGGTAAGGATGACATCAAGAAAAGGTGGCATAGATATTTTCAAAATTTATTAAATGATGATTTTAAGGAGAAGGTTATTTATAAGAGCATAAAAACTGAAATACTTAGCTATTATAGATTGATCAACAAAAATAATTTTACTTACCTAAGAAAAAACTCATAAATTGTTAGGCATAAAGTATTGGAGATTGTGAGGAGTATTATCTTGTCAACTTAATAGATATTTTCATTCAAATTTTGAAGACTAAGATGCAAAATGATTGGAGAAGAAATATTTTTAAACAAAGAAATAGTTAAACATTGTGTCAATTATAGAAGCTTTAAATTTAAGAGTTATACAATAAATCAATAGGAGATAGTAATGGAGCTTCAACTTAAAATAATTATTATTGATTTTGGAGAATCAATTTTATCTCATGCAAGAAAGTTTGCTATGGAAGCAATCTGTGTTAAGAAAATTAATGAAAAAGTATATGGAGAAAAGATTCTTTCTATGATATTTATGGATCTTTTGAATTCTTATTCAAGTATTATGAGAATTAACTCGGGGCACATAATAAAGGAATGTGTCAAAAGTATAAAGTTATTAATGATATGTATTATAAATTCCTCATTAGTATTAGTAGTTGTAGAGCGATAAAAGGCTTTCCATTTATAATAGGATTATGTGAAGGATTAGGATAGGATTGAGTCTTTTTTGTATGGTACTGTTTATTAATCATTTTACAAAGAATATAAAAAGTGAGTGTTTTGGTGTATGGTTTATTTGCTTGAGATATCTGTTGAAATAAATAAGAAGTCACAGTAACAGAGAAAATCTTTTGAAAATAATTGGGCTTAGAACTAGTACAGCATATATTGTGCATGATATGTAATTTTAGTTTAATAATTATAAAATTGTTAGATGATAAAGTAAGCGTAATATCTAGATATTTTGGATCTATCATGCAAAAGAATGCTAACACACACACGAGAGAGATAGATATATATATATAGAGAGAGAGAGAGAGAGAGAGAGAGATTACATTTTGAGTTAACGTTGGGTGGTTGAAAATTGAGAGTTGCCTATGGAGTTATATGTGATAAGAGGATATCATTAAAAACAAATCTTATGAAATTATGATTAGGTTGTCAATCTTATATAGATGCAAGTATTAAGCAGTTAAAAGGTCATTATTAGCGAAATTGTGGCCGAAATGAGAATTTTAGGATGGAGATGTAGCAAATTTAGGAATGATAAATTAAGGATTGATCTGATTAGAGGAATCATTGATGTGATATTTATTGAAGATTAGATAATTGAAAATGGAGTTATATGTGATAAGAGGATATCATTAAAAACAAATCTTATGGAATTATGATTAGGTTGTCAATCTTATATAGATGCAAGTATTAGGCAGTTAAAAGGTCATTATTAGCGAAATTGTGGCCGAAATGAGAATTTTAGGTTGGAGATGTAGCAAATTTAGGAATGATAAATTAAGGATTGCTCTGATTAGAGGAATAATTGATGTGATATCTATTGAAGATTAGATAAATGAAAAATTATTTTTAAATTATTTCGACATCTACAGTAAAGGGTAGAATAGTCATTCTTTATAGTCGATAATATTTGTGTCATTGGATTATTAAAGGGAGGAATTGGACTTTAGCTGAATTGAAATTGTTCTAAATGTCGACAAAGAATAGGTTTAACTCTTGTTGCATTAATTATTTGGAGTAAAGTTTTTGTAATTCAAATTTTTATAAGATATAATTGGGATCTTCTATTTACTGCAAATACTAGCTTACGATTTTCAAGTGTTGGTTAAATTTTTTTGTGGCTATGAGATCTTTTGAGTGCTTTAAGAGATTTTTTGAACCCTTGTAATAAATTGTCTTCAAACTCATTCCTGTTACCATTATGACCGGAGTTGTAGAAGGGCTTGACATCCGAGAATCTTTGAACCCTTGTAATAAATTGTCTTCAAACTCATTTCCTGT